CTAACCTTGACCGCTGAACACAAATCTAAGGGTTTTATTTGCCTATCACTCATACTTTGAAAATAAATCTTAGATTTATGGCAGATTCTTTTGCCCAACATTTCTACAATAGCCCTATAACAAATATGCAGAAAGTATGTCTATATGTTGTACAAACAGTAGAGTGTGCAAAAAAAACAACAATATTTTTCATTTTAGCAATATCCGACAAAAAGTTACGACACAATGATTTTTTTTCACTGACAATTAGAAACAATCATAATACATAATACAAATCTAAAAAAAAAATTATGGCAGAGATTTTACTGAAGTTTGAGTCATGTTGCACTTTGCGATTTCTGAGCCTTCAAACCTAAAAAAAGAATTGTTCAGATCCACATTTTAGATCCCACGATACCAGGGCAAACCTTTGTGCAGTGATGAAAGGAAGAATTCCGTGAAAACAAGGAAAGAGGTTTCAAACAATGCATGCCATTTATTTACAGCAAAACATACATGAAGGATGTATAGGACAGTGCCTAAGAAACCACCAGGCGACCTAGAGAATGACCAGGAATGTAATCCTGGTCATTCTCTTGCCCACACTTCCTTTGTGCATGGGCATGTTTCCTATTGGAGGCAGTCAGTCGCTGGTGGTCCTTCTCACTTGACCTCTGAGCATACCTCGGCAAACCTCACTCATGAGGGCCCTCACTCACCCTCATCTTCACAGGGGAGGTGAGCGTGAGTGAGTTTCTGAACCAGGAAAATTCATGAGTATGAGGGCGAGTGAGGGCGGTGAGGGCCGTGAGTGCGTGAGGGCCGTGAGGACGGTGAGGGGTATGAGGGCCATGAGTGCGTGAGGGCGGTGAGTGGCGTGAGTGCCATGAGTGCGTGAGGGGTGTGAGGGCGGTGAGGGCCGTGAGTGCGTGAGGGCCGTGAGGGCGGTGAGGGGTATGAGGGCCATGGGTGCGTGAGGGGCGTGAGGGCGGTGAGTGGCGTGAGGGTCATGAGTGCGGTGAGTGCATGAGGCCCCCTTCAGACGGAGCATCTTTCTCAGCAATTTTGGTGTTGATGGCGGGTTGTTCTCTAGCTTTCCCTAGATCGACACGAATTTCTGAGATGGGGTCCGGCTCGAAACTCAGAGCAATTCGAAGACGTTTGAAGCGGCTGCATCCAATCAGGGACGCAAAATTTTCTTGTGATACCTCGTGCCAGAGATGATGACACCGAAAGACTTGGTTCTGGTTTGAAATCAATCGTTTTTGGAAATACACGGTTTCAGAAAGGTACATTAGTATTCTCAATGGGATTTAAATGCATAAAAACATGTTTATAACGCATAATTGTGTCTAAAGAGTACAAGAAAAAAAAATTCTGTGATGATGATGGCAAATTGCAGCAATTGGTTGCTGCATGTGATCGCGGGCTGCCCATGTTGCTGGTGTTGCGATGTCAAGTTTCCGGGCGAAATTGCCCCATCTGAAGCTGGCTTGAGTGGCGCGAGGGCCATGAGTGCGTGAAGGGCGTGAGGGCTGTGAAGGCCGCGAGGGCGGTGAGTGCGTGAGGGGTGTGAGGGCCATGAGTGCGTGAGGGCCGTGAGGGCGGTGAGGGGCGTGAGCGCTATGAGTGTGTGAGGACCGTGAGGGGCGTGAGAGCCATGAGCGCGTGAGGGCCATGAGCGCGTGAGGGCCATGAGCGCGTGAGGGGCGTGAGGGCGGTGAGGGGCGTGAGGGCCGTGAGGGCGGTGAGTGCGTGAGGGGCGTCAAGGCCATGAGTGTGTGAGGGCCGTGAGGGCGGTGAGGGGCGTGAGGACTATGAGTGCGTGAGGACCGTGAGGGGCGTGAGGGCGGTCGGTGGCGTGAGGGCCATGAGCGCGTGAGGGCCATGAGCGCGTGAGGGGCGTGAGGGCAGTGAGGGGCGTGAGGGCGGTGAGTGTGTGAGGGGTGTCAGGGCCATGAGTGCGTGAGGGCGGTGAGGGGCGTGAGGGCTATGAGTGCGTGAGGACCATGAGGGGCGTGAGGGCGGTGGGTGGCGTGAGGGCCATGAGCGCGTGAGGGGCGTGAGGGCGGTGAGGGGTGTGAGGGCGGTGAGGGGTGTGAGGGCCGTGAGGGCGGTGAGGGCCATGAGGTTCAGTGAGGGTGAGTGAAGGGCTGAAGGTGAGTGTGACTGTGAGGATGAGGGTGAGTCAGGGGCTAAAGGTGAGTGTAGCTGTGAGGGTGAGTGAGGGGCTTAGGTGAGTGTGGCTGTGAGGGTGAGGGTGAGTGTGAGTGAGGACGACCTAAAATGCCGACCTCTGCCTCTGAGCACTTGCTGTGCCTTGGGGGAGATGGAGCTCCCTCAGGATTGCACCAGCGGCAAGCTGTTTGCCGCAATCGAGTCTGAGCACAGCTTGTGCTACTGCACATTTCACGCTGAACAAGGAGGCATGCTGCTCTTTCGAGGAAAGTGACCGTATCACTGAGTGGAGGCTTTCATTGGCGTTCCGTTTTTGGACGTTGGCACCTTTTCAAGGGCTTCTTGTCAGAGAAGCATGTATAGACGGGCAGCAGGGCATCACTTCATAGTCCGGCAGCTTATAATGATGCTTTGGCGGGGCGGAGTTTAATTTCTGGCAACAGCAGCATTTTGTTTGCTCCACAAGGTCTCCCCCCTGTGGGCCAAAGCGCACGGTTGTGCTTTGCATCAGTCGACGTAATGTCGCCACCATGCAACATTGTCGTGTAACTTAGTCCATGCTTTGCAAGCGACCGCTCGAAGAGGATGGTTGCAGCTTCAACCTCCATTTGTCCTGGCTTGCTTGAGCTGTTCCTCTGGAAGACAGCAGTCTTCTTCCACCCTTGGCATGCAGGATCACTTTCCTTTGGTCCCATATCACAGCCCAGGCAGATATTCGACAGAACAACAAAGTCAAGCACATGGCCAGAGAACAGTTCAATAATGCTGGCAACGCCTTTGTGTGACCCCGGGGCATCCAGGTTCCACTGAATGAAACAGCGATGTTTCAAGGATTTCCGAAATTCAGATCTTCGTAAAGCGTTTTTGCTGCTCCCACGCACTTGCTTCATCATGGTAGTTTCAGCTGGCCTCTGGGCCGCCGGATCGGTCTTCTCCTTTAGACATGTTTGGAATGTCCTCTTGTGCAGACCTCTTTTTGAAACGTTCATCGCAGAGAAAAGATCTTTCACCACTGTTTGTCCGTTACCAGTACTGCCAAGAGAAGGTGATGCGAGAATGTTTATCTCGAAGGGGTTGGGGATGTTGCGTTTCCCTTCCCCCTCAGAGAACTCCACTTCAGTTTCAGCTCACCATACTTAGCACAGCTTAAAATCAGCTTCACTGCAATCCCATACTCCCGGTCTCCTTTTGAGATGCTTACAGTACCACCGCAAACTTTGCACTTGACACACTCGAGAAGCGCATTCACAGCCGTTACACTTACAACGGTGGAGGCAGTGCCGACCTCCGACAGGTTTTCCGCATTTTTGTTGAGGAGAGAAGACTTCCAATGTGTAGCCAACATGAATGACAGCTTTTGCTCGTGCTTCGGTTGCGTCATGCTCTATCTCCGCCTGCTCGGCTTCGGAGATCAGAATCGTGTCCACGTGCGTCGTTCCGCTTTCGACCACGGAGGAGGTCTTAACGCGCCGCCACACTCTTGGGAGTGGCGCAACTTGGCGGATTGCAGTTTGGCACGCTAGCAGAGCTGGACGCCAATGGCATCGAAGTTCCGGATGACACTTCATCAACTGTGGGTCGTTTTTTTCGCCGTTTTTCAAACTTGCGAGCAGTTTTACACTTCAGATGACCACCAACCATGGTCGCACATCTTATCCAAGATGACGAATGCGTCTAGCAACCCAAATCGCGTAGCGACCAATGAGAATGCGCCATTTCCCACATGTGACAAGAAAGCTCCAATGGCGAAGCAGTGTTTGCGCTTTCTTTTCCTTCTAGTATGTTCATTGTTGACAGACGTAGGGCATAGATTCTGCTAAAAACTGATAGCTGAAGAAAGCAGTTTTCAAATGATATTAAAATGGTGGCATTCCACAACCTGTTCCCCGCCATGGAGGTATGAAGCTTCTGGAGGCGACATGACGCTGCGGAGAGGGACACGAACCCAACGATGACCAAAACTAAGAGACGCTATTGGACGAAACGAAGAGCTGATTCGGCGCCAACTCCTTTTTGTCCAATAACGTCCCTTGGTTTTGGTCATCGTTGAGGGCGCGTCCCTCTCCGCTGCGTCATGTCGCCTCCAGAAGCTTCCTACATCCATGTTCCTCCCACAGGATCTGGCTGAAAATGATCCAGATTTTTTCGTGCTTTTCACACGCAAACAGTCGGATATGTGACTTTGAAATGATGCCGACTAAATAAATACAAACTTTCCTGGAGAAATTATTGGAAAGAAGGTAGCTTATGACTTACTGCTTTAAAAAAAACGTCTGGAAATTTTTCTTTTATTTTTTATTTACAATCACTGGACAATCAGAAAGCTCGATTGGCTCTATTCTCCAGCACAAGTGGACGCTATGGAATGCACTGCTTTGGGAACATCCATTGGGTGTAACCAACGGTGTAAAGGCTCATTCACACACTTGCAACCTTTTGAAACCGGGTGCCTTGGAACCGCTTAATATCTCTTACGAGAAGACACACTGGCGCCATCTATTTTGGCAGTCTGGCATATTTTCAATTTCTCTCACACATTATTCTTTCTTTCTTGGCTCGAAAAACTTTTGTCAATGTTATAAACGAGCCTTTCTTATAGGTATTACGCACATCTGACCTTGGGAATCCCGCAAAAGCTTTGCTCTTGTGAAATGCAGTTCCAGGGTCACCGCATAGATGGTGCCAGAGTGCCAGTGTGTTCTCTAGTTCTAAGAAATTTTAAGAGGTTTCAACGGGTCTCATCTCTTTCGGTATTACTCGGTTGCAAGAGTGTGAACAGGCACAAGAGGGTGTGCTGGTGTGCGGAATCATGTGACGAGATGTTCAACAAGTGGCACCCTCACCTCAAGCAGCTTGCGGACCCGGGACACAGGATGACCTGAAACAAAGCGCACAAACATTCGGAGCTGAATCGGAAGAAAAGGACACTAAGAATACTTTGTATCTGGTCCTAAACATTGTGTTTGTCACTTTTCGGGGGTCTCAAAAAGCTACATTTCCTGCGCCCTGACCCTTCGGAACACATTCGGTACATCCCCCAGTTTATCGGATAGGATCGAGACAGGCTTAAGAGACCCTGGTGTTAAACATTTTTGTTTCTGATCTAATTTATAGGCGTTTTAAAGCAGTTGTGCATGGACACCGCTGTAACCAACCTCCAGTTTTTGTTTCCCCCTCTACCATTCGCTTCACTTCAACGTTACCATAGCAAGTCGGGTCAACACCATTTTAGAATCTATTGTGTCCTCGTCCCCAGCATTTGCCCTTGTGGAGGCTTGTCAATTGTCTCCAGCATTTGCCTTTGTGGAGGCTTGTCAACGCCCGTTTCAGGGGCTCGGTATCCGGATAACGCACGACGTAGGCAATGGCGGCTGTAACCTGGTGCATGCTTAAAGCGTCTATATTAATTCTTACATCTATTATAACTTGTTATGCTGAGCACAAACATAAGCTCAATTTTTCTATCAATTTAGCTATAAAGAAAATCTCAACTTTATCACCAATCTTTATGTCCAACTCTTTTACAACACTTCTAAAAATAGGGCACAAGGTATGCTAGCACGTCCTACAAATAATAGAGAGTGCAACAAAGCCATCGGTACAATGCTAACATCATTCTGGAGAAAGTTATCACGAGTTAAAATTTCTTTGCTGATACTAATTAAAAATTTAGTCATTAAAGTCTGCCAATCACCAAATTTTGTAGTTAACATTTTCCAGAAAGATTAGTCTTGTTGCGCTCTCCGATTTATGAGGTATCAAACCTCGAAAAAAGCATTCAGGTCCAAGTTCTTAATCCAAAGATGCCACAAACAAAACTTTGTGTTGCAACGAAAAAATTAATTTTGAGAAAACGGGAAAAAGCTTTTCAAAACATGCTCACAAACCGTTTGAATACGAAACTCTGAATCAATGTAACCACATAAGTGTGCACTTCCTAAGTGTAGTACCTACAATACATGTTGCTTGCTACTTATAAATAAAATTCAGCGTTTTCGATTTTTTTTTTAAATTTGGCATACCTCTTTTTGGTTTGTAATTCGAAATGCGATTTGCGGTTTTTATCGGTCAATATAATAAACACCAGAAATTTTTTTGTTTTCCTTCGGTGGTTTGACCAACATTATACTTGTTTTTGATAGGCACTGGGCAATGAGTATAGCTGTAGACCGGTCAAAAAAACCATGTGATTGTGTCAATGAGCTCCTAGAAAGTTTGACAATCGAGAAAATAAATAATTACACCGAAAATATAGTGGCAGACAATAAGAAAATGGTACACCATTTGTCAAAGTAACCTTTCCAAAAGGCAGCTTTAAACTTGGGCAGAGTTTATGACTGCCTTCATGCATTGGAAAGTTGAGGGGCATTTTGGAAAAGAAGCAACCAAAATCACTTTCTCAAACTACAAGGAGCTTGGCACATGAAATCCAGTCAAAACAAAGATCCAACCCACAAGCCCAATCACTACTCGGAAAAGACTGTTTACAATTGCATCCTCCCTGAACTCACCAGGGGGCACTCCAATGATAAGCTACGAACCTAATAAAATATGCACCCCAAGTGAAGATCTACACCACCCCCTCCACCTCCCCCCCACCCACACCCACATGCACGCACACACACACATGTGGACAAACGAAAAGCTGCTTCATTGGGTTTTAAAATATTGAATTTTTTGGTTAAAACCGAATTATGAAATACAAATTTGACTTAGCTTTATTGGTTTCTATCGGTATCGAAAAAGCTACACCCTAGTTATAGATCAAGGAAAAAAGAAGTTTTAGAAATACCTTTGAAAGAAATTTTGTGTTTCAGGACCAGGACCTTTCCGTAAATTTTTTAGGCACAAGGTTTAGACGACGCCTCACAGTAGTTCATCCAGAAAATACAGTTTTGAAACGCAGCCACCAGTCGGCGCTTCGAACGACAAATGATGGCCTTCAAAGGAGGAGTAGGGGCGGATTCGCTTCTCCGCAGGAGTTCCGCAACCCGAGTTGACCCAACGATGCCGGCCGCAACGGAATGGTACGCTAGTCGTGAACCTCACCCCTTTTGATGAGGTAGTCGGCCAGGGTGCCTCCGCCGATGCTGCAGATGGGGGTGATGATCCACGGAACCATGTTGAACACCCACATCTGCAAGGAGTCAGCGTACCGCACAACAATCGGTGCGACAGACCTTTCCAGGAAATCTCGTGTCACACCGTGCAGAGCGGGGAATTGTGGGGCCATTCCGACGTGCGCTCGCTCCTGCCCGTACGCGCGTGAACGTGGCGGACTTTTTCCTCTAGATAAGTTGTTTGAACTCTACGGCATTACTAGCCAAAGATCTCGTAATTCCCGCCTAAACATTGTTTTAGAGCCCTCGGGACACTTTGTTTACCCCCGATTCGATAGTGTGGTGGGAGCTACGCGCACCCCTGACCGTTTGTCCAACTTCCTTTCGTTGCCCGACTCCGCTCTCCATGCGCTGCACCAGCAGAAAGCGCGGTCGTACAACGGAAGACGAGACGTGGGACGGGTGCAATGAGCGCGTACCTCCCACCATACTAACGACTTAGAGGAGTCACGAAACAATTTTTCTCCTTTCGCTAAATGGTACTCAAAATCACTTCCTGACGTTAATAGCCAAATTAACTTGCCTTAGTTTTTCTTTCTAGGCAATGGCAGTCACCACAAAAATTCGAGAAATGTCAGCGTCGTTCGTCCCCTCAACTCAGAGCCAGAACGGACGGCCACGTGCCCCGGTGCCTACCCTACGCCGCCAACGTTAATCGCAGCCACGCGCTCGAGTCGGCAAAATAAAAAACGCGTGCCGAGCTCCAAGCATCGTTAGAGTTCGGCCATTCTCATCGCCGCGGTGCTTGGACACCGGCCACCACCCCAGTGTCCGCCGAGGCATTGATTGTTACGAGCCGAAGTCGACTGCTCACACAGTTCTCATGTCCAATCCCCGAGTTGCGCTTGACCATTGTTTGGCGGCTGGTTTCGATTCGACAATTGTGTCATTGAGCTTTGCGGAGGCCAGACTGGGAGAAATAGCTCCCTTTTATCCTTGCAATTTCAACGCGACAAAGAAGCTTCTGAACCAGTGGCGATCCGTGCGACCATACTTGGGACAGACTAGGGCCAGTATGCAGTGGCGCAGATAGACCGTCCGGCACCTGGACCCGTTTTCTCGAACGCGAACCGTGGGTTAAAGTTAACTATTGTCCCTAGAAGAGGGAATTCTAGGTCACGTGACTGGGAGAGCAGGGGCGCCGAGGGAGGAGCAGTACCTACAAGCAAAATGGCCGCGACGTCGCTTAATGAGGGCTAATACAGTAAAACCTCGTTAATTCAACCCCCGCTAATTCAGAAATTCGGATAATTTGAACTGCCGATCCGGTCCCGTCAAACATATGTATTAGTGAATGGCAGCCAACGCTCATTAATTCGGAGGAAACGCGGCGCACTATGGTTAATTCGAACGAATTCGGCAGGTGGCGCTAGCTACCGTCTGTTCCAAAGGGTGTGACCGATATCCATCCGAAGTGCGCACGTTGTTTTTCCGGTTATCCCATGGTTCTTCGCTCTTTCGGTTCTCCGTGTTTCGCACCAGTTTTGCTCTCGATCGCCGTGCTTCAGTGCGTTACTCTCCTGGCACGGAAGCGGCAGAAGCATTGCTGCAACGGAAAAAGGGTAGCACAAGTGACCGACGACCGGAATGGCAAAATCTCGACACGCGGGGCTGTTGTTCCCGAGCGTGCCAATAGTAAGAGTGACAGTCGCGTTTTATGCCTCAACGCGGGGATCCTAAAGCCCGCCATTTTAACAACTATCCTATCCCTCAATTTTTCGCCGGCCACCCCCGGATTGAAAAGTGCAATATGACTGGCACTCTTGCTATCGGCGCTCGGGAAAAATAGCGCCGGGTGTCACAATTTCGCCGCTCCGATTACTGGTCAGTTGTGCTACTCGTTTTCCGTTGCAGCTGTACTAGGCTAAGAATTTAGCGACGAAAGTGGAAATACTGAGGGCCTTGGAGGGCGGCGTCTCTCGACAAGTGATGGAAAGTTGCGACATCAAGAGAAGCACTTTGGCCACGTACGTAAAAATTGTGGCCGATATCCTACAGGCTTTCGAGAGCGAGAAGTTCAACGCAAAAGAAAGCGGCCTTGGAAGGTTGTGCACCCGAAACTAGAAGAGGCCTTGCTGTGCTACATTGTCAGCGCACAGGATGCGTAGCTCCGACAGTGCGAGTGCGGTGGAGCACTCGACCGCGCTAAGGAAAGTTACCGTCTCCGCCCAAGTGCCGTCCAGAAAGGAGGCGGTAATAACAATTTTCTTCTCAAAATAAAGGTATGTCACTGGGAAACATTTTCGCGCATCTTTCGATATTTCGACTTTCGGATAATTCAGACATTTTTGCCGGTCCCATGAGATCCAAATTAACGAGGTTTTACTGTAGTTCTTGGTTCTGCTGAACATTCATTTCGATCTGGCTGTTATACTAATGACGCACCATCAACCTGTTAGCACGTCAAGCAAAGCGGTAGTTCAGAGGGACTACTAAACTAACCGACGGCAGCATTCCGCGAACGCATCACTCTTCAGCATGTCCGGGATCCCAAACATATGAGGGTACATAAGCCTTGCAAGTGTTTTTATGGTGAGTAAAAAAATGTTTTGCGAACGAGTGTTGGTATATATTTATACTAACACATTTAATTTGTTACACTATGCACACCAACACATGAGCAGCGATTACTTTGCGAAGAAAGGGGGTTATCCTCGATAAAGTCTTCGTTCCGGGTGAACAGCTGGGACATTGTACTATTTACTTGTTCGCAGTGCGCCGACAGTATGCCGACAGCATCGAGGTTTCTACATATCCCCGGTGGCCACCAATTCAACGGTGACGAGAAGCTTAGCTCCTTGTCACTGGTGGATCTGTTGGGCAAAAGGAAAAGGGGGCAAACAGTTGAGATCAGCAGGAATTGCAGAAACATGCGTCGCAAGGAACAAAAACGAGACTACAGCACCGGTGTTACCAGACTGGAAGGCACACGGGAAAGTTATGCGTTGTTTATGGCGAAACCTATTAAAGGAAATGTTTCTTACATTTTCGAATATTCGTCGGCAAACTAGCATAGTAGCTAAAATTTCTTCGCACCATCTGAAGCAAATAAATTGGTCTTCAAGTACAACATTACTATATTTTGACTTAAAATACCATACTAGATCGATAACAACCAGTGGAAAAAGAGGATAAACAAAATGACTGGCTTGTTTCACGGATAGATGGCGCATCTTACTGCCCAATAAAAAATAATTATTGTTGTTCTATATCCAGCCGTTTATCACAGTACCTAGGTACTTTTTCCTTCCTAGGCACCGTGGTTTACCAAAATAGGTTTACCATCGCTTCGAGAAAACCGGCCCTGGGGCCCTTACGTCTTTCGTAGCCCCCCTCCCCCCCCCCCTACTTCACTCCCCGAAATCGCAACTAGTAAAGCGGGGGGGGGGATGCTGCCAGAGGTGGAACCCCCCCACATCCTGGCGCTGCCGCGGCAGTGGACGAGGATGCGGCCGACGCCTACTCTGGCTTGCACTCCGATTCGATGGTTCCCAGAAGCTTCTGTGGCAACGAGCTGGCACTCGACGGAGACAAAAGAGCACGATGACGGAGACTCCCGCTTTTTTGCCGGAACTTCTACGACCAACTGCCAAGATCGCGACAGATGATGGCGTGACACGCTTGTCACTGGATCCCGGGAGAGTAGCGCCATTGCCCCTCCCACCTGCTAGCCGGACAAAAGAAAATACTAAATACGGACGACCAAACTTCGCAAGGTGGTCGGCTCATTGGCCTCGATTAACAACTTTATTTCCATCCATTATGATGGGGGCCCCAAAGAAAAAAAGCTGTGGTAGGTGGCGTGACTGGTCCTCAGGCCCCTCACGCCGGTCAACAGCGATCGTGCAAAAGCATGCAAAAGATCACTTACACAGTAGAAACATCGCACATCTACAGTTCATACGCATACAAACCAGGGTTTACCCAAATACAAAACGTGTAACCAAAATAATAATCCCGTACAAAAATATAAGCGCTGTTCGAGGCGGGGTTTAGGCCGCACGTCCGGAGGCTTCCTGTCTCGTGACGACGTCCAATCCCCGAAGTGAAGAACCCAGGGGTTCAGTGGAGGTGGGAGACTTGGTAACGTAACGAACGGTTTAATTACATGGTAGCGATACAGTTGTCAAATCCGAGAGAACAACGGAGCAGCCTCGCGCTCCGCCTTATATAGGGTCCGTTTCTCCCTCACTCCCCGCCAAGGCAGCCAGTGCGACGATGCAGCAACCCGCCGTCAAGTGCGATGCAGCAAAGTCTGCCGTCCAGTGCGACGTAGCCAAAGTTCTCCGCAGTTAGGCCATGCCTCTCTCCCTTTCCCGAGCGCACCAACCACCACGCACACACACACGTCCCGCTAACGTCATGGGCGCGTTGAGACTTGTTGCCGCAGGCCCCGTCACGCAGGCGACGGTCCCGGACTCGTCGGGACTCGTTTCGCGCAGGCCCCGACAAGCGGGCGACGGTCCCGGACTCGTCTTGACTCGTTTCCGCAGCGTTGAAACTCGGAAGAAGGTCGCCGAAGGTTTCATTCTTAACAGCGCGCATCCTTGAAAGCTAAACTTTCAAAATCAATATTATCGGTACAAAGATCATTTAGCAAATGTGGGAGTATGAAATTCAACATGCATAAGGCATACTTTGTTCGCTGTGCGAGCCTCCTCCTTTTCTCCGCATTACGGGTAGGGTACGGTGGAGAATTTTTTTCTTAACGATGCCAGTCTTTCCAGAAAGCCTGAGCCCCGTCTTTCCACTTTTAAAGCTGGTACAGAGCCTGTAGGGATATAAGTTGTAGATATAATTAATCCTACAGTTCTGAAACAACTCGGCGGAATGGAAGTGATATCGCACATTACCTATTCCTCTAAATATTTTGTTGCGCAGCAAACACAGATTTTCAATATTAGTCGTCATTACCCGGGGCAATCGCCACTTCAGCCTATTCAAACCTTCCAAAGGTTCGTTTTGAACCAGTTGCGCCAAGATCGCCGTGGAGCATCATCGTACTGAAAGCGTTCCTCACCAATATAAGCACGTTTCTGAACCACGCATGCCATGCACTTATCGGTCGTGCTTCTCCCCACGTATCTCCTAAAAAGGTATTGCTGTCCTAGCATACTTCACTGGTGTGTGGGTGACCAAATCTCGGTATTCGAGAAATGTGTTTAAAACGCAACCCGCCACCGGGCGTTTGGATCGGCTCACCAAGTATGGGAAGGTGAAGGACACACTGCCCATTCCACGGACCAAAACGAAGGTCATACGGGGAGCTTGGCACTACTCTCCCGGGATCCGCCAACTTTAGGTACGCCGGCTCCCGGGACGTCACTTGATGCAAGGGTGGTACGGAGTGCTACACACAATGGTCGAAGGTGCCATAACAACACAAAGTACTTTCGTACCAAAAAGGCTGGGATGTGCAACAATTCCAAGGGGTTGAGGACCTACCTGGGCCTCTGGAAAGCGTTCGTGGAAATAGGTAGGCAGCCAGGAGATCAGGATGAAGTAGGAGTTGTTCTCCGTGAAGTGGGCCAGCAGAATCACCCTGCACGCACACAGGAGGAGCATCTGTACCAACCCAGCGGGAGAGCATCGGGGCTGCCAGGCAGTCGCAGATAAACCCGCCAAATGTTTGTGAGATATATAGTCAAAAAATGTCCAAATGATTGGGTTATAAAAATAGCCCAAAGCTTCATGCAAGGTATCTGAAGCATCGTTTTGAAACACTGATGACATAATAGATGTATTTACAAAAAAATACCCAAAGAAAACACAGATTACTAGTTTCCAGAACCCATGGCAGAGCATGGGTTGCACGGGTACATCCCTGCGGTATTAAAATGTGCCAAGAAACTTCAGACAGTAGTACTCGAAATAAAAATGATTGTGCGTCCGTGACCAACACCATTGAGGGCCCACTCATTGTATCTTCACACTCGCGGTTAAAATAGTTTCCTTTCTTGCTATGTCGAGTTGATCTTTGCTTCGTACCTGCCTCAAAAATACCACGTTTAAGGCTTTGAAACCGAGTGCTTCGGAATCGTTCGAATCTCCGACGTGAAATAGCCCAATATTAGCGAAATAGCCAACCACCGGATTCTCTTCTGCCAACTACAAAAACGGGTAGCCCGATTGGGCTATTTATGACCCAACCTAGCAACCCTGGACCCTACAAAAAGTCATTGTTTATAGACGAGCGTGCGGTCACGTGAAAACTGTGGGCACTGCACACGTGCAGAAGCCCACCTCCGTTTTGACGTAAAGGCCGGCCAATATATTTGCACGCGCTTGCGCCAAGCGTGTCACGATCTCTCTTAACCGCTGGCACACCGGCCATCCATCCATTAGACAGCCCTAGAACACCTCCGACCAGCGTGTACATTTTTATAATCTTGTATGCACAATTCTTTCACTACCGGCTCGAAATAATTCCAACAACGTTACGAGCGACAATTTCTCGTAAATAGCACAAACATTTTAACTCGCGCAAACATTTTAACTCGCACATACAGCGGCGTTCGTCTTCCGCCACCTGGCCCGGCGCACCAACGAGGGCCGTAGGTACTTAGTTGAACATTCCTTATCGCAGCCTCGCCGCCGCAATGCTTCTGACGGGCTGGCAGGGCCCTTTCTTGCCCCCCAAACTCCAAAACCCCCCTCCCCATTCGGCGGTGTGGGTTTGCCGGATCAGCAGCGCACCTACACCTCTTGCCCCTCTAAACGTCCGCCTTGAGAAGGGCTTCCTCCCAGTCAGGGTTTCCACAGACGAGGCATGGGAGCCGCCGCCTGATCGCAGACAGCCACTGGCTGCAACGCGAGGTCCCAAAAGGGCTCCGGGACGCCGTCCAGCGGTGCACCCCACCCGGGCCAAGGCCGCTTCCACAGGTGGAGCCAAGAGGCACACACGACGGGCCGGTAGTCGGAGAGCACCGTCCAGGCGGCCGCCGACGCGGTCCCGGGGGGGATTCAAGGCGCCCACGAAGATGGGAGAGGGGCCCAGTCCGGAACCGGGCGGGCAGGTGTCTCGAGAAGGGGCATAACGGAGGTGGTCTTCGTTATGGTCCCGCAAAGACCCCGCCAAAACGTGGACACTAAGAGGGAATTACCGGGTATGACAAAGAAGATCAGTAAAGTCTCAATTATCCCTTTGTGAAGAACAAAGGGCAGGCCTGCGGGCCCGACGCGCATGTTGCAAAAATAGAACATGAGCCGACGTCGTAGTTGCGTCTGGTCATTGGTAGTTGCAGTGCTTAGGAGGGGTTGCAGGATCTGGGCACGGGCTGGGCGCTGCAAAGTAGCCTCGGGCTCGAGGTATCATTTCGGCTCGGAGACGTGAACTGGTCCAGACTGTTGTGTACCGTGAAGGCATGCCAGGTGGTAACCCGACGGAAAAACTTTCTCCGCAACGCGGAACGGTCCAACCCTGAGGTTGGCGAGAGACGCCATGAATATGAAGAATGCGTTGTTAAGCGGGTGCGTTCGACGGAGAAACGAGTCGCTGTTCCGAAATGGAGCGTCACGGCGGCCTCTGTCGTACCGAACGGCCCGTTGCAGACGTGGTGTCGAGATTTTCTCGTCCCTCACGAACAACCGTGGAAAGTCAGTTGTGAATGACCTGGGCGAACTCCACATAAGGGCGACCGTTTGGTGCTGCATCCGTGTACGATAACGAATTTTGCCACGGAAAGGGAGCTCCTTAGAAAGTTGAGACGCGAAGGGACGAAACCTGTCGGTCGGTCGACCATGGTGCGCGTAGCAAACACCATCTCGTCGAGTTTGGCGTCCCGGTCTTCGTGACGGGCTATGTGAGCGATGAACATCACCTTCAGGTTGCGATTGACTCTCTCAGTGATGTTGGCCTGCAGGTGGTATGGCAAAGTTGGCCTGTGCCACGTGCCGAGCGCGGTGCAGGCGTCGACAAACACCTTGCTCCAGAAGTGGGATGCACCATCCGTGATGAGCTCTGCAGGGAAGCCAAAGAACTAGCGAAGACGGTGAGAAGGCAATCCCAGATTTGCTGCCAAAGGAGCTTCCACGAGGGGAACAATTCAACCTGGAAACGGTTCCATTGCGTTGCAGGCAACAATCTGCCAAGGAGAGTGGCTTATTGAGATTGCCTGCATTAATCCTGGTGGCTGACGTGCACGTGGCTTCGCACTCCGACACACTGGGCAACTGAGAGCATACACCAGTACATCTCGACTCATTCCTGCCCCAACACGGCATAACTTATCCCAAGTCTTACTGCTGCTGCTGTGACCCATTAAGGCTGCATCATGGATGCAGTGCTTAAAGTCTCCCATAAGTTGTGGGGGGCAGGCTCATATTTGATGTATACAAAACTGACTTGATTAAAATGTATACATAATTGAGCATGTTTCTTGGGAAACAAAACTGACCAACAACCTAGATTCCGATTATTTCTTTGGTCGAGAATGAATAGTGTCAGCGAAACATCCGCCATTTTGTTCCACAAGAAGCTGACATGGCTATTCACAACATAGTTTTTCTCTCTGGAGGTGGCTGCTCAACAAAGCTTGAATAAAGAAACTAACATTTCTGATTAGATGGCATACTTACGACTGTGTTTTCCCCAACGTCAGGGCTATGGCTCAGACCACCTCTCAAAAATGGCAGGGGGTTCTGAGACACCCCTGAACCCGAACCGACCCCCCCACCCAACTTTAAGCACTGCATGGATGTATTTGCTGAACAGCTTTCATAGTTTCCGAGGTATAAGGATTCTGAAAAGTGATCCATTAGCGTCATTGTCTGCTTGGGGGATGTAGCGAAGAAGTCCACCCTTGCAGGTAGGAGTCTTACCCGGTGCAGCCTGCTCTCTGTAATGCAAGCTTTTCACACACGAGCTGACAAAGTCCGTCCTCCTATTGTACCTTGCGAAGTTCTGCTCAACTCCCCCACGTCCCTCACCGTGACTCAGATGCGTCGGCCACGGTGCCAGTTAGTCCCACCAATGTTGGTTCTTCCTGGATAGGAGGGACCGGCAAAGGAACACGTGACAGCATGTCTGCCACGACGTCAGCTGCTCCTTTCCAGTATGCAATAGAGTAGTCGTACGCCTGTAACATCAGAGCCCATCGTTTGAGACATCCGGCTGGATTCTGCAGATTCTCCAGCCAGGAAGGCGCTTGGTGATCCGTCTGGATCCGAGATGATGCGCCATCGAGATGCACGTCAAACTCTTCGAGGGTGAAGGCAACGGTGAGGCACTCCCTTCCCGTCATGGAGTGGCTGTGTTCGGACTGCTGTCGGCATGCCGTTGGCGAAGGCAACCGGATGAAGAACACTGTCGCGTTCTGGAAGCAGTACTACCCCAAGTTCTGTGTTGCTGGCGTCCGTCCGAACAGCTGACAGTTTGTTGAGTTCTAACAACTGTAATAAAGGGGCGTCGGTTATTGCCTTTGAGAGCCGAAGGAAAGTGTCCTGTTGCTCCCGCCTCGAACGCCGCTCTTCCCCTTTACGCAAAAGCAAATGCAAAGGACTGGTTATCTCCGTGCAGTGTGGGATGAATTGGCAATAAAATCCAATCGATCCTGAAAAGAGTCGCAAGTATTGAATATTGAATGCGGCGTAGCACAGAATGCATGCGTTTCATTGGCTGGCGAGCGGGAGCTCGACATCAGCAACCAATCGGTACCTGTGTGCGCTGCGCCACGCCACGTTCGCTACGCTAGACGTCGGAGTATAACAGAGCCTTTAGAGGGCTGCTCGATGCCGGTCCAATCTTCCCGTGCTAAGCGTCACGTCAGCATCGAATTGCGATTGTCTAGTGGCCCAACGGATCATACAATCGGCTGTAAAAGTCTGTCCCCAAAGCGTTTACCAAGAGTGCAGTCGCAGTGCGGTTCTGCTCCCCGTGTTAACGGGTATATATGTGACTCTTGCTGATTGTCTCAGTTTAAACGCATATTCCTGGACGTCGACCCGCATCCCCAAGCCACGAAAAACACCACGCCGATTTTCTTACACATGCACCACTTTGCAGAGCCGTGCCGGCCATCCGCTCTTAGCAACGATGGTACTGTCCTTCACTTTGTAGTGATTCGTTTTGTAGCACTTGACCGAGGCGGTATCCCGTCACCGGTAGAGGTGGGCATTCGGGCCCGTTCAAATCGACGTTTCGTAGCGTTGACATTATGCCGCAGGTGCACAAGCGTAAGGGTTGTTAACTATCTGCCCAGCCTCTCACGTCGTCGCATATACATCATACTTGTTGTGCAAATAAAATTACAAAATTATAAATTCCACCCCAACCAAACGAAAGGACCACCCGGACTGAAACCCATGGTGGCCAGTTCTGTTGTGACTTTCTTCACCAAAGTGCCTCAATGCTATGTTCAGCTTTAAGTAATCTACATACGAGCATACTTCCCGTAGTGGTGCTGCTCTTACTGACACAATGTCATCGTGACATTCCATCCAAGTTTCACAGACATCCACAAGGCAGTTTTTGGTTATCGCTTTATTCAGTTTAAAATATGTTTTCTCGAATTTTCCTACGAAGTATTGGTGTTGAAGTTTTAT